AAATATAAAAAAATATTTTTTAAAAAATTAAAAATGTCTATAAAAAAGCCTCTTCATGTCCTGGATGATCACAAAAGACTTGGAAACTGCTAGCCATTTATAATAAAATGATTTTAGTCAAAATTGGGGGTGGGGTTGGATTTTTTTTTTTAGCAGGGAGGTGTTTGGGGTTTCTTTTAAGTAAAGTACAAAGGTGCACACTAACAGTCCCATGAAACCACATGTATGGACAAATACTTACTGTTTGTTAATTTTAGTTAACAACTTCTAAGATGCTAAGAAGATGTACTTATACAACACCTAATAACTGTTCTTTCAGGCATTCACAGAATCACAAAATATGCTGAGTTGGAATGGACACACAAGGATCATTAAGTCCAACTCCTGGCCCTTCACCCATTCCTAAGAGTGATACCATGTGCCTGAGACATTGTCTAAACGCTGCTTGAACTCTGTCACGCTTGGTGCTGTGACCACTTCCCTGCAGAGCCTGTTCCAGCATCCAACCACCCTCTGGGTGAAGAACCTCTTTCTGATATCTAACCCAAATCTCCTCTGAGACAACTTCAGGTCATTCCCTCAGGTCCTGTCACTGGTCACTACAGAGAAGAGATCAGTGCCTGGTCTCCTCTCAGTCTCCTCTTCTCCAGGCTGAACAGACCAAGTGACCTCAGCCACTCCTCATACGGCTTCCCCTCAAGGCCCTTTACCGTCTTCGTTGCCCTTGTTTGAACACTCTCTAACAGCTCAATATCTTTCTGATATTGTGGCTTCCAAAACTGCACACAATATTCAAGGTGAGGCCGCACCAGGTCAGAGCAGAGCAGGACAGTGCTCTTCCTTGACTGGTTGGCGATGCTTTGCCTGATGCCCCCCAGGACATGGTTGAGCCCTCCGGGCTGCCAGGGCACTGCTGACTCATACTCAACTTGCCATCAATTAAAGTATCATTGAAAGGTTCACAAAGTAAGATGTAAGGAGTACAAATCAGTACTCTGGTTTCCAGTACAAACAAGTTCTCAAGCTATCACAGGGTGTTAACACCACCTGTAGTGGGATGAAAACCTGTATAACCAAGAAGTGCTATTACATACTTGCAGAAATTAAGGGCAAGAGACTGGTCATGCACATTGCTAGCTAGTAACAGCTGCTGTTCCAGAACAAAGTGCAAAAACACTAGAAACATTTCACAAGGAGGACTGAAAAATAAATCTAATTCAATTGCTTAATTTCAACATTTGAGTCTCTTAGACAAATGAAATGGTTGACTAAGCCTACTTTACTCTAGAGAGTAAGGAGGATTAGATCACCTAGCAATTTTATTTTCTTTCATCATCATCATCTCCTAATAGGAGTAACTATGAGATACTGTTGGTCTAAACCAGCAACTATCTGCTAAAATTGAAAGGCAATGGAAGTCCCTTAGGCAAAAAGCTCAGAGGGTTGCTGAAGTAACACATCCAAGAAAAGCAGAAGACAAACCTGCTCATGGAAGATGCAGCAACACTGATCATAGAAAGACATTTAGATGGACTACAACTGACAAGTCATGTTGGTGGCAAGAAATCTGACATTGCAAAACTAATACTTTAGGTATACTAAAGTTCAGGAGCATTCTCTGATGGAATCTAGTAAACATACTCTAATATAAGAAAACTCTGTTTAATGAGTATTATATATTCTGAAAAAAATATTCCAGCTCTAGTCCTCACAGAAATCTTGTATCATTCCCAGTTTGCCATGTGCTACATTGCTGGTAACAAACATTCAAGTAAAAATGTTACATAGGAAAACATCTAAAGAGAAAATGACAGACTTTCAGTCACCAACTGCAGAAACTGCCAATACTTGTATGCCAAGAGTATTCACCCTAGCTCAGATCAAAAGTCCACCTCAACTTCACCTGGTGGCCAAAAGCGGATGTGTAGGGAAGAGTGGATGAAGACACCAACTCCTACCAGCAACCAAAACGAAAGACACCACCAACCACAAAGGCAAAGGTCTCAGAGGTACAGCCCTAAGCAGAATGAACCACATATGCTTCTAAATGCCTTTGCAAATTCTTATAATGCTTTGGAAATATTCAGATCAAATGATTTTTCCTGGTAAACTCTCACAGCAGTCAATATTCCAAATGCTTGTATTTTTCTCTTATAGATGCCAGCTCCATGAAACTCCACAGCCACTGTCCCACTGATGCAATGTAAAACCAACACAAATTTACGGCAATATTGTTTGAGTACCTGAAATACAGCCATGCCATTTCAGGTCTCTCCCGCAACAAAAAACTAACTAGATTCTAAACCAGTTCCAATTATACAAAAAATAAAATTTATATATTAAAAAAATAGAGTTAATAACCACATGAGAATCAATCCCACGTTCATAAAGCTGCCATGCCTGAAGTACCAGAAAAAAAAGTCAGTGAACGTCCATGACCAATGAAGCAGGCAATGCAAACGGACAAGAGCCGTTGAGCACAGAGCAGTTTTGCTCAGTCAGTTTCTGTGGCTGTCATTTTAAGAGACTGAGATCATACTGAATTCCTGTGTTTAAGTAGATGAAAGCATGTGAAATCACAATTCAGAGAAGACACATGCAGGTGTCTTGTATAACTGCAGGGGGTTTTCGTTGGTTTGCTTATGGTTCACACAACCCACTTTGTTTTTTTTAGTGCTGAAAAGAAAGAGGAGCTAAATGTTAACATCTGTCCCCAGCTGAGTCTGTCTTACTTTTCTCCTACAGTTTGTTTACAACTAATTGCTGAGTCACCAGGCAGCTGAGCCATTTCCAAAGACTCTAAATCAAGTACCAGAGACAAATTTCTTGATCGCTATGAAATTTACATGGTCTGCAAGGCCAATGGCATATCTGTTATATCTGTTATAATGCTGTGGGAGACCACCACTAGAACTGAACAGGACAGTCACCATCCCCTCCTTATTTCCATCATCAGAACTGTGAGTTCAACTGCCTTTATCTGAGGAAGAATGCTAACTGCTAAACCATCACCATCATTTTGGCAACAGACAACCGTGCACAACATAAATTGGCTCTTCAGTACTAGCTCTAGTAGAATACTTAAAAGGCTCATAGGAGATCTAAATAAAAGCAAAACCAACTTACCGCTACTGATATATTTAATTTACTTCAAGAACAATCATTGCAGGAGTTTTAATTAGCTTCCTGTAGCAACTCAGAATAAAAGCCACAGAAATCAAAAAAATTAACCAAAATTCCAACACCAAACTTGTGAGCTGTATTCCTCTCTCTGTTTCCTTTCTCTACCTTACTCGTCCCATATCTGGCTCTTAAACAGCTGCAACAACCTCAGAAGTGACACATTCATTCTGTATTTCACATTTCAAGCAAGTAAAATGCAAGAGTGCAGCACAGACCATTACACTGAGGCTATTGCATTGTAAAAATTTCATCAGTATATGATCGATGTACCAAAGCAACTGTTTGCTGCTGTCTCTACCACTTCAATAATTATAGTTTTTTAGAGATGCACCAGAATTGGCCACACTGTTTCTGAGATGTGCACTACCATCTTGTATCACCCTGGGCTGACAAACAAACCTCTTACTTCTCCTGAATCTGCTCAGGTAATCTCCTGCCCTCTGGTTTAATGAACTTTCATTCAACTAAATACTCAAAAAAAAATAAAATCAGAATTTTCAGTAATCGTCTACAGCCTAATGCTTCCAACACGGTCATTATAGCTGTGATATATTTCTTAAGATTCACTTGTACTGCAGCTGCTACTGCAGTAGCCTAAAAAAGCTTTTAGAGTTTAAATGTAAGTTCAAAAAAAGAATGAAAATCACATAGTAGTTGCATCCAGTGTATTTAACAACCTCATGTGTAATGCAACTGTAATGTATAATTATACTCCAGTAACAGATAACTTGGTTCATAGGTATGAAGTACAATTATGTAGCTACCCTTAGAATGCCATGTAAAATAACAGGTGTATCATCAAACTTATTAAAGAAGGCATTTAGACAGGTATGAGAAAACAACAAAGAAGATGTACAATACACAGACACAATAGTTAACTATGTTAGTTACCATGTCCTGACAACAGTTTGATCAAAGTAGGCTACTCCCATCCACACTAGGCTGAGGAAGCATAAAACATACTGGTAAAGGGGCTTCTAACAGCAATTCCTGGCAGCATATGGCTCTGCCAGCAGCATTCGTAAGCATTAATTGTCACACAGCAGCCAATTACAAACAGAATGCAGTAAATTTTTAAAAGCTGTTCAAGGCCAGGTTAGATGGGGCCTTGAACAACGTGGTCTAGTGGGAGGTGTCCGTGGCTATGGCAAGGGGAGGCATGGGACTAGATGGTCTTTAAGGTCCGTTCCAATCCCTTGACATTTTATGATTCAATATGTTTTAAAAAGTGGCAAGAGATATCTGGAAAAGCAGTTGTATTTAAAGAAAAAATCCTTGTAAATTAAAACTGGAAGAGCTAGGGCTTTTAATTTTCCTTTGACAGCATGTCTTCACAGAGTTTGCTACTGCACCTCCAGCCGAGGCTGGAAAGAGCATCCTTGCGGCCTGAGCTGAAGGTAACTCACAGCAGCGAGGTACAAGCTCACCACGGAACTGCGGGGTGGCGTGTGGCACCTCTCAGCCCTCGCTGTCGCGGGGCTACAAACCAGGGGCACTGCCCAGGTACAAATTCTGCTGTGACACCTTCTCCGTCCCCGCTGCCCGCCTCGGCCGCCGCGGCCAGGGCCGTGATACAGCTCGAGCCGCCCCGCGGCCCGTCAGCCGGGCCCGGGGGCGGCTGCCAGGGGCCCAAGGCCTTCGGGAGACAAGGCCGAGGCCGCGGGCGGGGCCCGGCGCAAACGCGGAGGGGAGACACCGCCTCCTCCCCGCGCGGAGGCACCACGTCGGCGGCACTGCCAGCACTGCGGAAATGGGCGCGGGGAGCCGGGCCCGGCCCTCCGCCCCCCGCCCCGCCGTGTCGGGCCGCGCTGACCCACCTGTGTCGCCGATGATGATGTACTTGAAGAGGTACGCGTAGGCCATGGCCGCTCCCGGGTGCCGCTCCCGGGCTGTCCCGCGCTCGCTCCGGCGTGACGCGCGCGCTCGCCGCCCGGGCTCGCGCTGCGGAGAGGCGGAAGCGGGTTAACGGCCCCCGGGCGGCGCCTCCGCCCGCTCGCTCCCTCCTACCTCTACCTCCGCCTCCGCCGGTGGAGCGGCTGCGCCCGCTCGGGTCGCCGCTGCCCACCCTCCCTCCGTTCCTCCCGCCGCGACCCCGCGGTGCCGGGCAAGGCAGAATGTAGCGGCGGCGAGAACAATAAACAGGCGCCGAGCGGCCCCCGGACTCTCCGGCGACGTCAGCGCCCGCCCCCTCGCGCCACCCCGCCCCCGACCCGGAAGTAGTGGGGCGCGCGGCCGCCGCCCGTCCCGCCCCGCCCCGCCGCGCTGAGGGAGGTAGCGTTCGGGGGGGTTCAAGGGGTTACAGTCAGTGAATCCCGGGATCAGTTAGGCAGCTTGAGGCCATATCCTCTTGTTCTGTCACTTGTTACCTGGGAGAAGAGACCGACCCCCACATCACTACACCCACTTTCAGGCAGTTGTAGAGAGTGATAAGGCCCCCCTGAGCCTCCTTTTCTCCAGGCTAAGCAACCCCAGCTCCCTCAGCTGCTCCTCATAAGACTTATGCTCTTCACCAGCCTCGTTGGCCTTCTTTGGACCCGCTCCAGCACCTCAATGCCCTTCCTGAATTGAGGGGCCCACAGCATAAAACCTCTAAGCATAAACTGTAATGAGCAATTCAGTACGAATTATTTTCATCACATATAAAAGCTGAGTTCTGGCCTGGAAAAGGTTTTTTCCTTTTTGTTTTTGTCCTTCCTCACTGAACTGGAAGCAATGAGCCAGGAGGGTACCTAAATAATTCATAGCTGGTGTTTAGGACTTTCTACTCAGAGTTCACATGAGATGCGTTGGTTTGAAGAAACTTCAAGGCCTTCCATAGTCTAAGCTGCTTCATGAAGTGTCCTGTGTACCCAGACCTTTGGACCTGGAGTAGTTGAAGGCAGCTTGGCTCACGGATCGGATCCACACTGAGGCTGCATCCTGGCCATGGTAAAGGGGGCAGGACACTCCAGTCAGATCATACTGATGATGCTTTCAGATTCCCTTCAGCTCAGCTCTTTGTTGACCGTGGATCATTGAAATAGGGGACTATTGAAAAGCCATTGGCATGTTCTTCATATAAATTCGCATTTTACTCCCATTCTGGCTGGTAGCTTTTAGCTTTATAGAGGTGGTCAACGGCTTGGCCGGCATTGACCTACATGGCTTCTAACAGGTATGCATCCAACTTACTTGTGAAAACCTTCAATAAAGCTGATTGTGCCAAATCTTGTTGTCATGTTTCATGACCTGAAACCCAAAATGAAGCTTTTTTTTTTTAACTTTTCCTGTCCCCTGTGGATGTGCAAAAAACCCCCAACATTGCTAATAAAGAGGAAGGAACTCTTTTATATATTGTAAACATTATATCTACCTTTTTCACATAAAAAAATCATGTTTTCCATGACCACTTGTCAGACATTTGTCTCCTTAATTTTTTTCTCCTCTGTACTTCTTCGAGTTTCTCAACATTATTTGTGACGTGTGAGGTCCAAAACACCAGCCTCATCAGCTCAAAACAAGCACATGAGTATCTGAAGTCTTGCCCCTCTCTGAATGTGATTCTTTTTTCCTTTTTTATTAATAACTCCTGAATTTTATTTTTGATACTAGATCCCTATTTTAAACAGTTACTACTCAAATTTGTCTATACGTTTGGTATCTCCTTGTTAAATGCTGTTTTCCCCTTTGCTAAATTTCACATCCCTTTGCTAAATTTGATCTTGGCCACTCAGTTTAGCAAAAATCTTTGATTCTTTTCCTTTTCGTATCATCTCGGACATTTTGTTACCCAGATTGTTCACAACAATATTGAACAGGTCTTGCCTGGACAGGACAGAGCATTGAAAAGTGGCATGCGAAATTTTCTCCTAGTTTAAAAACCCCTTACCCACTGCAGAGAGCCATTTCCCTATTACTTTATGTAACAGTAGTTTTGATATACATTTTTGTTAATTGATAGTTCCTGTCCAGAATGAGTTTTCTCAGAGAAACAAGTTTTTGCCTTGTTTCCTGTGAAAGTCAAGCTCCTATTTTCACATATTGCTGCTTGTCTATGTTTCATGTCCTAATAATGATCATGAAATCTGGCATCTGGATGGAGCAGGGTACCTTGGCTGAAGGAAAAGCTGCAGTTGGGGTTGGCTGTCAAACCACTCAAGAATCCACACTAAAACAAGTCTTCCCCAGTGCTTCCTCAGCAGCTAAGCCCTTCAGCTGGCATTCATGCTGTTAGCATGGGTTTCTGTGACCTCAACCACTGGAAAAAAAGCTGTAGGAGATAAGGCCGTAAGCAGATAAGATCTCATCCAATATAAGTAAAGGTTGCTGCTGAAAGGGATGGAGCAGCTCTGCCTCCACTAATCCGCTCGTGGACCCTCCCTTATTCTGACACTCTCAGGATCGTCTGTGGAATGAGAGAACAGGAGTGGCTAAGCTTTCATTTTTTCATATTAGCTTTCAGGCAAAATCAACCTGGGTCCCCCAGCCACAGCAACAAACTAAAATGCTTTTGACAGCCTTGTCAGTTGGATCCCACCTCTGCCCAACTGTCCCCACTTACAGAGGGTCCTGTGGTTGTGAAGACTAAAGCCTGTTCTGTGAGATCATGCAGGCAGGTATTGAGTCTCAGGATGAGCCCTCTCCTTTAAGTGCCTCTCCTGTGACTGACAGGATGAAGGAGAACTGTGTGAGTTTCCCTGTCGTTCACCTTTTCCTTCAGAGCCCTTCTGTTACTCATGACATGCTCCAAGTCTCCATTGGTACTATCCAGGTTTTCTACATGACTGAGCCACAAAGGATATTAATCTGAGGGTTGGTAAAGTCTTGGCAATCTGTCCTCAACATCCCAGGGTAAGAAGTTTCAAGTGTATTTTAATAGGGACTGTAGCGATAGGAATAAAGAGTAATGGTTTTAAACTAAAGGAGGAAGATTTAGACTAGATATATGGAAGAATTTTTTTATGATGAGGGTGGCGAAGCACTGGAATATGTTCCCCAGAGAGGTGGTAGTTGCCCCATCTCTGGAAACCTTCAAGGATAGATTGGATGGGGCTCTGAGCATCCAGATCTAGGTGAAGATGTCCCTGCTCATTGCAGGGGTGTTGAACTGGGTGGCCTTTAAATGTCCCTTCCAACCCAAACCATTCCAGGATTCTATGATTCTATAACTCTGTTTACCTCACTGATGGGATTTAGTCTCTTAGTTCTCAAATTATGTGATCTTCTAGACTTCCAGACAAGCCAAATTGGCCTGGTGCGATTGAATTAAATCTGATAAGAAAAGGGAATTCAATTTTGTAGAGCTGCGGTTTCCTGATCGGGAGAAAATACAGACAGTGCAGAATCCCCAATGAAATGCAAGGTACCTTTAATACCACCGCTGAGCCATCTGACAGCCTGCTGGCTGGACTAACAGTGCAGAGGGACTCAGCCGTACCTGTTTCTGCTTTGGCAACCTGGTAAGCCACGGAGGTAACCAACTTGCAGGTGACCCACACTTGGGAGTCTATGCCCCACTGACTTCCTGAGTGGTTACTCAGCTTGGATCAGTTGCTGCACAGTGGTCAGATAGCCAGGCCTCTGCTGGTTACCCAGGCAGCCAGCGGCGCTGGAGAGGCATTACCTGTGCTGGTCTGTGGAGTATTTCAGTCATTTTTGATGCTACTGTTGGGGTATTTGTTGAATCAATGTTTGGCAGAGGCTTGCAAGGATAATATGCAAGAAATTTTTACTTAGGCTATCCCATGGTAAATACAAACTAATTTGCTACTGGATAAGAGACTCTATACCTAAGTTATTGAGTGTTATCAGCTGTTCTGCAAATCTGAGATGCCTCTAACTAGATATTAATGCAAAATTGCTTTTCCTCCTAGTTATGCATAACATATATTTCTTTAAATACTAATAAGAGGCACGTAAATAGCTACTGTAATAATACTAATTTTTCATTCTTTACTTCTCCTCTGCTAAATTTCTATTTTCCAGAAAAATTTATATCTTGTTTTGTTAAACATTATTACTCTAATAGAAGGCTACCATGAAGTCATATTCACTGACTCCAGTTGATATAAAAGAAGCATTGGCTATTCAATATTGAAGAATTGTGCTTGCAGAGAGTTGTTTTGCTTTTGTTTGGGTTTTTTGTTAATGTTCTCTTGAATAATACATGTCATCTGTGAGTGATTTTATATCACATGTTCTCTAGAAGTATGATGAAATGCTTTGCTATGATGACTGTATTGGGATTATATTCTGGTAAACTCAATAGACTTGAGAAAACCACAACTTGCTCTTTTTTCTGTGCCACTCGTTTTTTTCCTGCATTTCCATCATTTATCACTGTACAAACTCACTTGGGGTTTTTAGCAAAGCCTTAGGTTTTGCAGGATCTTTTCCACTAACAGTGGTATTTAGGAAAGAGCCATACAAAGCTCGGGATACTCTGCAGAGCAAAACATTAGACCAGACTTTTTTATGGAAACTAAATCACAAAACCAGAACTCTAGCATAACATATGAATACAATCACTTTGATTATAATTTGCACTGTATTACCATTTAACTGTCAGAAGTCCATCTCTACCTACTCTTCAGTTTAGCTTAAAATTTTTAAATCATTCCCGTGTCCATTTAAATTATTTATACAGTTGCTGAGTAGGAAATGTTATTTTCTAGTGTCTGGCATTTAATGTATCTGTATGTACTTTTTCTGAACATTAATTGTATGCTACAATTCACCTTATTTGTGAATTTTTAAAATAATTTTTAAAGTATTAGATTTGTATTATAATTAAGTAACAAGGAAATATATAGCATATTTTATTTATTATAAAGGTTGAGAATGGGAGTCCACTTTATGTTGAAATAAATATATAGCACAGATCCTGCAAAAAGACATTCAAATACCCCTAAATCTCAATGAAGATCTGCCTTTGTAGTGAGAATTTCTAAGTACCTCTTAAGCATAAAAAGGTAAACTGGAAACTAGACTTCTGAGTAGAGTACCTAGAAATACATGCCTATGAGTGATGTGTGACTTGGGCTCTGAGGGTCCTAGACTACGCAGCTTTGGCTGGGATTTCAGCTCACAGCTGTGCACAGAGGCTGTTTCCCCACTCTCTTCTGTAGCCTCTGTTTTACTTTCAGAAAAACACGAATTTTACTAATGCCAATTTGTATACTTTTAAAAG